TAGTGGATTCTTGCTGCTTTTGGCCCCGTGGGATAAGGTCCTCTGATTGTGTAGCTTATGAGAAACTATGAATTGCTCTTAAAGAAATGGGTGTGCCACAACATTTGATTGTCCTGATGTATAACCTGTACCCAAGACAAGAGGCTACCATCAGAATAGAACCCAGTACCCTGATCCTTAGGATGAGGAACTGACTGGTTTAAGAGGTAGGGTTTGTTTGTTTTTTGGCAGCATCAGCACAAGAAGACCCTTAGGTTGGGGAACAAACTGGCTTAAATGGTAGGTTCCCTCCCCCCCCAACTGCCCTTTTTGGGTAGCATCAGCAAAAGAAGCTATGGCAAAGGCTCCCCACTGTCACAGCCACATCTGTTGATGAAGGATCTTGGCCAGTTCTTGGGCTTTGTTACTGATAAGAATTCCATGTACTTTTTTCTTCAAGAAGGATTTTAATATTTCCAAAGATTGAGGAGTGTAGCTATGGGTGTATGTGAGAACACTGCCTTATCAAACAAGAATTCTGCCCCTCCAATGAAATTTTCCTTTACTTCCCAAATTTCTAGCATTGCAGTAACTTGAATATTTAGAAATACAGTTTAGGCATCCAAAGGAAAGGGATAAGCAAAGTTGCCAAGGGGATGTGAATGCAGCAAATAGAAGAGTTCTAGGTGGGAATGGGTTTTCAATGTCTCACTCTCTGCAGTGCAAGAAAGAAAGAATTTCCTGGGGGGCAAAATTCTCATATTGAGGGGGAATTCCCTCATTTGCCCCCCCTACCCATAGCTGCACCCCTGCACAGAAAAAATAGTATTTCTGTTCTTTCTCTACATTGGACTTAGACTGTCTAGCTGAAATCCTGCATGGTTTTTGCGTAAGTGTAAGCACCATAATTACACTGCTACAGAGTGACTTCTGCCTCGGTTCCTCCAATCCCCACTTGTTATTCAGAAGAAGCTGGTTGCTGTTTCCACTCCCTCTTGAACAATCTCTGGTGCAACAGGCAGAAGACAGACCCCTGCTGCAATCCCCCCCCCTTGGCAATTCCAGTGGCCACTTCCTAGTAAGTGGAAATTGGGAGGCTTTTGCAGTTCCTATGCAGCCCTTAAACTAGGGGCTATGTAGGGATCATGACTATGAAACAGTCACAAGTGCATAACTCCAGGTTACCCATTCATAACTTCCAAACAGGATTCCAAACTCTCTTTCTTAAAAATTGCTAATTTCTCTATACTGACTGAGGAAAATGGAAAGCTATGAGTTATCCTCAAATCATAGTCCTCAAAGTAGAGGGGAGGCTAGAACTTTTGCTGTCCTAGCAATCCCTTTAAGTGTGTCCCAGTGCAGTACTCTTAAAAGATGTTTGTGTGCAGCTAAGAACTATGATCCATAAAGGGACTCTTTCCTTTCATAAATCTGTTAGTCTTCGCTGCTTCCCCAGATTTCTATTTGCTGCAACAGACTAACAATGGATATGCTCTCTGGATATTGTCTGGCATTTTTGGGTCTTTTGGATGGAATGTTCTTATAGTAGATTGAGAAAATTGCCTCCTCCAAGGCTCTACACTTTTATTCTGTTTTACAGAGGCAAACTCCTCCAGCTTACACCCTGAAAAGCGATTACTTGATTCAAGAGACTTTATACTTAAATCGCTTTTGGCTCCACTTGTCCAGCCATCTGTTCTCTTGTACCAAGAGTTCAGCACCCTGCTGAGATTTGCTTCCTTGGTGGAATTAGTAAAAAGGTCTGGATATAGCTTGGTAAAGAAGGAAGGGACAGCTTGGGCAGTGCTAAAGGATGGACTGAGATTGGAATGCGATGGAATTCCTGGTTTATTATATACTTGGGAATTGTCTGATTGTCATGCATAAAAAATGTGAACCCAATAATACTCCATTAGGTTATTTTTCAGTATCATTTACTCAGGTGTTGTATGGGATCCATTTGACTTCCATCAAGACAACACTTCCATTGTGAGGAAATTGCACATATCTTTCTTTCTTTCTTTCTT